TGTTCTCCTAATGAACGACAAATAATTTGAAATGTGTTTGAAAATTGTCATGGTTCATCCAACCCTTGTAACTTTAGTATCTCCCTAAAAAAGTCAAATAAGGAACTCTAGTAATTTGTGACAATTCATATATTCTCTTTAGTTGAGTTCTTTTATTTCTTACAAACATATAATGAACCAACTTTTAACAAACATTAGAGTGTAGTTAAACTATCATAAATTTGAGAAAAAAATCAGCTAAAGTCTTGTTAATTTCTTTTGTTTATTGGTATCAAAGTCAATCTCCTTTTATTATGTATTCAAATTCATTTTATTGTGAAGAATCCAAATTAACTCGCGACACATTTGTCTGCATTTTTGGGTCGATTAAGAAATCCCGCTTAAAGGTCAACTTTGCAAGCAAAACCCCCATCGATATATTCTGGATGAATTTGGACATATGGACTTGAAGCTATTTAGAAAAGTTGTTGATGGACTCGTCATTTTTGCGATGAATAAGAAATCTCACTTAAAAGTCTATACTTTACATGCAAAACTCCCATCCAAATGTTCCTGGTGAATTTCTGGATGAACTTGGGTATATGCATCACAAGCTAAATAACAAAACTGTTTAGAGTTCGTTAAATTCACCTTTTAGAAAAAATAACTTTTATCACTTTCTTATTTTAAAAGTACTTTTTACAAAAGTTAAAGCTATTTATATTTTTATAAAAATATTTAATTTTTGAAAAAAATATTTGACTTTTGACTTCTGCTTTTCATAGAAGTTAAAATCTTTAGCTTCTGAAAAAAGTAAGTTTTGAGCTTTTTTGTGACTTCTCATTTTTTTAAAAGCAGATATCCAAACGAACTAAAAATGAAAAGTGCTTTTTTCGTGAAAAAAGCAGTTTTTAAAGAAAAAAAAAAGCTCATCCAAACGGACTCTTAATTAATCTCGTTGTTCTTACAAATGGTAGATGCCCAGTAAGTGATTTATTGATTTATCGTACCTACATAATGAGCATCTCCCTAGAGGAAACAATCAGGGAATTTGGATAATTTTAGAAAATTCAATTATCTTATTCATTATAAATATAATGAATCAAAATTAAAACCGTTAACAACAATTGAGTAGAATCAAACTACTGTTAAAATTGAGACAAATATTACAATTAAAATCTTTTTAAATTCTTTTATTTCTTGGTGCCAAAGTCAATTTCATTTTAATGCTTGTCTAACTTAGCTTCATTATCAAGAATGCAATTTAATTCACTACACATTTACTTGTACATATCTCAACACTCAACTTGATGTAGTAACGAGTCCCACTTGAGTAAGGAGATGAATCTACCTCTGTGGAGAAATTAGACATATGCTTCTTACGTGTTTTTTTTTTTTTAAGTAAAAAGTTAGGAAAAGGCTTGTCCCATTAACATATGAGTACGTGAAATTAAGACACAACTCGTTGTAGATTTGATTATTTTTTGGATGAACCATAGATGTTATATATACTAACGTGTCCTAATTCAGATCTCCGATCGGATCGACTTTACATGTAAACAAACCCCCCAATCCATATATTCTGGATGAATTTGTGGATGAATTGGACATATGCGACCAAAGATGAATAAAAACCGTTAAAGGATATACTGTTTTTTGGGCAAAAGTTAGATGTAATAGAAACATGATTCATTGGACTTACAAATAAAGACATGTTAAAGGACATTACTTTGCATTTCCGTATGAGAGACGATATGAGAACTTTGGTAATTTCGGCCTTTCGGGCAATTCAAACTCTTTGTTTAGTTGAGCTCTTTTTTTCCTTATAAAAATAAAGAACCAAAATTAAAACTTTTTAACAATTATGAATAGTATCAAACTATTGTAAAATTGAGAAAAAAAATCAATTAAAATCTTGTTAATATTTTTTCTTTCTTGATGAAAGTCTTTTTCATTATTTTTTTTATACAAGTCTTTTTCATTTTAATAGGTGTTTAACTACATTTCATGAAGAATCCAATTTAATTCACAACATATTTATTTATACACATCTAAAGCCCAAATAATAACCCATCCTTACTCGATTGTGGAGATAAAAACTATCTCCATATATTCCTTTTATATATATATATATATATATATACGGAAATAGAAGAGTTATGTAACAAGAATCACAAATTTTTTTCCTGCACTCACAGCTTTCATTGATAACAGTGCTTTTTTTTTTCTTTTTTTTTAATTCGTGGGTCCCACTGAAAATTGTATTTGACAGGAAAATCATTTTAGTTCATGTTACATGACTTTAACATTTTCCATATATATATATATGGAAAATACAAATATTATGTTACAAGACACTCATTAGGTAATGCCATAGACACAAGCTAAGATGTGGGCCCACATGTTTTAGAAAAGAAAAAAAAGAAAAATGGCTACACACAAATCGATGGGTAAGTAGGAATTTGGTTTCTAGTTATCTAACATGATATTTGATAAATATATATATATATATATATATATATATATATATATATATATATATATATATATATATATATGGGGAGGGATCTTTTGACTCTAAAGTAAGACTTGCAACTCTTACTCCTTATCTCAACCATTGATTTTCGTCCATCTAACGGTTATCTATAACAATTATTTATTTCAAATAAATAATAACGGTTAGATGAACGGAAATCAACGGTTGAGATGAGGAGTAAGAGTTGCAAGTCTTACTCTAGAGTCAAAAGATCCCTCCCCTATATATATATATATATATATATATGTGTGTGTGTGTGTGTGTGTGTGAGGTAGGATCCTTTGACACCAGTGTCAAATTTAAATTTTGACACCTCATGTGAGAGTCGTTAGATCAAAAAAGATCAACGACTCTGATTTGCAAGCATGTGACACCATTGGTCTTTTTTGATCTAATGGCTCCTAGATGAGGTGTCAAAATTTAAATTTAACACTGGTGTCAAATGATCCTACCTCATATATATATATATATATATATATATATATATATTTCATTCCATTTGATCTTTTAGGTCCAAACTTCACCTTGATGGTTATGTCACAATGTCCTTACTTAAGCCTATATTTGATGTATAGAACCTTTTACTAAGATCAATATTGTTGTATGTAAATCAAGAGCAATAGCATGATGAAAGAAGAAGTCTCCAGGCCCTATTTTTAAGAATAAAGAATTACTATTTTTATTAATGACATTTAACCAACCAGGCAACCATATACTTCGCCTCGCATTGAACGCCAGTTTTTTTGTTAAAGATAAAAGTACATTGAATCCATTGGGCAAGGCAAATATAGGTTCAACCAAGATTTGTTTCTCTCGAGTGCCAAAAGCAAGCATGACATCATTATGGACATAAAGTCATTACAACCACTTTATGGTTGTTGCATCAAAATCAAATCAACGACTCTCATTTAATATTGTTTTATAACCGTTAATTTAATTTTGATCGAATAACCATAAAATGATTGTAAGAAGAACAAATATTGTAAATATAACCTCTCATATATATGGGATATGTTATTTTGTCTACCCTTATATTGCCTACCTTTGTCTACCCCTTTTAACACCGTTAGATTACAATCTCATCCAACGGTGAATATTTACGGAATAAAATAAACCTTTTTTCTCCTTTCTTTCTTCTCACTACCTCACACACCATTTCTCTCTTCTCCCCATTTTCTCTTCCTCGGCTGCTTCAATCATCATAATATTAGGAAAAGTCAAGCATGATTACATGATATCATAAGTTGCTGAAAAAAGCACCGACATCAGTAAGAATTTATCTGTTCAACAAATATAAATCTTTCAATAGTCTAAAGAGTAAACATTCAAGCTGTCAGTATCACTTAATTTTAACTTCGTATGATTACATAAATGGGGGATATTACATTGTGTACACCTTGAATGCGTTACATGATTTTTCTAAAGGTTAATGAATCCCAATCCATGCTTTCTCATTTTAGGGTCTGTTTATTTTTAGATTTTTTTTTAGGAATTGATTGTAAAAATTTTAGTTTGTATTTGAAAAGAATTGAAAAATTCCTTTTGCTATGATAATAAGGCCATACATTCTTTTTCTGAAGCTTCATCTTATCTCGCTGAGGAAGAGAGAAAGGGGAGGAGACAAAAAGGGTGTGAGAGATAGTGAATTGAAAGAAAAGGAAAAAAAATTATTTTATTCCGCAAATATCCACAATTGGTATAGGCAATATAAGAGTAGACAGAATAATCTATGTCCATATATATATATATATATATATATATATATATATATATATATATATATATATAAGAGGTTATATCTACTGAAAAGTTTTATAACTCTTACTACTAAATTAATCATCGTTGATTTCTATCAATCTAACGGTTATAATTTATTTGATATACTTATTAATTAATTATTAATTTTCAATAAATTATAACCGTTAGATTGATAGAAATTAACAGTAATTAATTTAGTAGTAAGAGTTGTAAAACTTGTTAGTAGTAAATATAACCGCCCACACACACATATATATATATTAAGGGATAAGTTATTTTACCTATCTTTGCCTACCACTCTCTAATATTATTAGATCAAAATCTCAATAAAAGAAAGAAATGATAAAAATATTTAAAATTTTAATGTAATAATATTGAAGAGTGATAAATAAAAATAATCAGAAAAAGAAATAAATAAAATGACATTTTCCATATATTAAATAGAAGCACAACTAAGTTAAAGACTTGTCCCATCTCCGCATGCATCTTAGTTAAAATATTAAAACCATATACGGAATTTCTGTTTTCCAGATGAACGGTGGATGCTATAACAACGTGTCCAAAGGAGTTTCAAGATTCATCCCACCTTTGTAACTTTAACATCTCCCTGGAATATGAGATGGGGGCATATCAGTAATCTCACACAACATCCACGTTCGCTGCTCAACCGAACCCCCTTTCGGCCTATAAATACCGAAGCGCTGCAATAGTTTCAAAATCGCAGGCTCATGAGAGAGAAACAAGAGAGAGAAAGCTCTTAGAGAGACTGTGATATAGAGAGTGAGAGAAGAACTGTGTTTAGTGTTTGAGATGAGAAGCAAAGAGCGAAACGTGTAAATGGCGTTCACGAATCTGCACGAACCTCTCATTTTCTGAGCATTTTAGCTTTCTCCTCGTCGTTGCGTTTTTTTTTTCTTCCTCTCTCTCCGTCTGTCGTTTTTCATTTCCGAAACTCGGAACCAGAGAGCGAGTGTTGAACGAGATGAGTCGTTTAGCGTTCAAAACCGAGGTATACGACGGCGACACGCGTTTGGGCGAACTCGACGTAGTTCCGGTGGCCGCGTTCCAGAACTTCCGGTTCCCGAACAACGAGATTCGCATCCACCACACAACACCGAAGAGCGAGCGTTGCCCTCCGCTCTCGATCCTCCAAACGATTTCCGCATTCGCCGTTCGCTGCAAGCTCGATTCCTCACTCGCCGTTGAGCAACCGCACCTAATCAACCTCCACGCCTCATGCTTCCACGAAATGAAGGTAAATTAAAACGAAAATTTCATTTAAATTTTGGTTTTGTGTTTTCTGATAAGTGAATTCGATTATACGGTGCGTTTTAGACGGCGGTTGCTGTGGTTGGGGACGAGGAGTTTCACCTGGTGGCGATGCCGAGCAAGAGGAAGAAGTTCCCGTGCTTCTGGTGCTATGCTGTTCCGATGGGACTTTACAATTCCTGCTTGGGGATGCTGAATATGAGGTGCCTTGCGATTGTGTTCGATTTGGATGAGACGCTCATCGTTGCGAACACGATGAAGTCGTTTGAGGATAGGATTGATGCTTTGCGCGGTTGGCTTTCGCGCGAGACTGATCCCTTGAGGGTGCAGGGGATGTCTGGTGAGCTTAAGCGTTACCTGGAGGACCGGTTGCTGCTGAAGCAATATTTGGAAAGCGACTCTGTGCATGATAACGGGAAGATTTATAAGGTTCAAATGGAGGAGGTGCCGTCCTTGTATGGTAGCCACGAGAAACTGGTTCGCCCGGTTGTCAGGTTGCAAGAGAGGAATATTGTCCTCACTCGTATCAATCCCGAGGTTAAAATCTATCTGTGTCTTTTTCGTATTGATATTTAATTTTGTGGTGTTTGTGTTTAATGGTTTTTGATGGAGGGTGGGTGGTCGATGGATATTGCTCCTTAATGATTTAAGGGTTTTTCTCTTAATTGGGAAAGCTTTGCCGAGGGATAAAGTTTAAATGTCCTTTATTGGAATGCGTAATGCGTTGATGCGCCTCATTTGTGGAAATTGTTAGATGGTTAGGAAATAAAAAAACGCGGTACAATGAAGAATGAGAGTAGAGCTAGGTAAAGGAGTGGAATCATCTGTAATAATTCTTTGCAAAGACCAATTAATTTATTTTTTATTCATTTTTGTATTTATGATATTTTTAGGCCAGCCAGACATATTTGAGAATTGAGATTGAGTACTTCTGCCCCCCACACGTTGTTTTTCTCACGCCCTTCTTATACGCGATAGGTCAGTATACAACCAAATGGGTCTACACTTACAAAAATACACACCTTTGACTTTTCTGTGTTTAACATAATTCCTTTAGATGAATATGTATTCAGCTGCTTCCTTTATTCCCTTACTGAATTCATTCTTGCTTTCACTCACATATTGGGGTTTACCTTCCAAAGCATTGGATTAGAAGACTAGATTTTTACTTTGTTATTTTTGGCTGACTTAGGAATGCATTAATAACAATATAGAAGAGAGACAAAGAATGGCATGTTATTTTGTGTGTTAGTGATATGTGAAATAGTTTACTTTCTTTCAGCTCATATTTAGGATGATTGGTCATTTAAGAGTTCTTATGGTTTAATGTCTTGTGTTGATTCTTGCTTATTTACTATTTTTGGGTGTTGCTTGTATGTCTTTTTGGCCTGTATAAATAAAACCAGCTTCATATACCTTCAAATTATCACTTCTATTGCAAAGGTGTTAGGACCCATTTGTAAGGTATGAGACTTGAAGTCCCACATTGGTTGTATGGGAAATAAATGTGGGGTGTATAAGGCTTTGGGCACACTCATCTTTTGAGCTAGCTTTTAGGGTGGTGCATCCCAAGGTTCTTATTAAATGGTATCAAAGCCTTCCACTATGTCTCCCGCTTACAATTGAGTGGCACCGGCGGTGACGCCGGCATTGCAGTGTTCGTCCGGAGTTAGTAAAAAACTAGCGCAAAGCCAGTTCGCCGGGGTTGCGGAGCGTGGTGGAATGTTAGGACCCATTTGTAAGTATGGGACTTGAAGTCCCACATTGGTTGTATGGGCAACGAATGTGGAGTTTATAAGGCCTTGGGCACTCTTACCCTTTGTGCTAGCTTTTCGGGTGGTGCATTCCAAGATTCTTATCAGAAGGTTTATGAGTTAAATAATATTGCTGAATGGTAAAGGGGGCTAAGGCATTAAGTCTTAATTCTCTTATTGGTGGCTGCTGGTTCTTGCGCATTCTTGTCCTTATTTATTTATGTACATGCTATCATTTTACTTGGGCAGCTTTTTTTAAATAAATCAATGTTGTTTAGTTTTGTAGTAGTTTAGCATTCTCTGTCCCTTTCATCCTTCTCTCTCCATCTCTCTGGCAAACAGAATACAATGTGAAACTTATCAATTCTTTCTATTAATTTGTCCATATGTGATGTAGTTGCACCTAATTTGTTTAGTTGTGTAAGCCTTTTGATATGTAGGGATTTTGAGTCTTACTACTTGTTTCTTGGCATAGATTCGTGATACTAGTGTACTAGTGAGGTTACGACCTGCTTGGGAGGATTTAAGATGCTATTTAACTGCAAAAGGACGCAAGCGATTTGAAGTATATGTTTGTACTATGGCTGAAAAGGATTATGCTTTGGAAATGTGGAGGCTTCTTGACCCAGAGGCACATCTTATTGGTCTAAAGCAAATCCTTGATCGTGTGATTTGCGTCAAATCAGGTATGGTTCCTATTATTTATAAGTGTCTTCTTTGATACTTGTCACCTTTAAACATTATAAAGTTTTTCACATAAGTTTGAAGTGGAATTTATTTTGAAATCATATCAATATTTTGAAACAAATTTTTCTGTGGGGTTTTGTAATTAATACAAGTTGCACAAGTTTGTTGTTCAAGCTACTTTGTTTTTTTTTTTTTTTATCTCATGTTGCTTGTTCTATAGTAGTTAATTTCTTCTTGCTGCTGTTGTTCATGTCCTTATGGAGAAATTTGCAGGCTCCAGAAAATCTTTACTAAATGTTTTCCAAAATGGTATATGCCATCCAAAAATGGCAATGGTGATTGATGACCGGTCAAAGGTTTGGGAAGACAAGGACCAGCCTAGGGTTCATGTTGTTCCTGCCTTTACTCCTTATTATGCTCCTCAAGCAGAGGTACTGGTTTATGTATTTCATTGCAGAACTTTTTTTTTTTGAAATGTTCGTGATATAGACTTCATTATTTTCTGTATTTTTTTATTAGACTGCCAATGCGGTTCCAGTCCTGTGCGTAGCAAGAAATGTTGCATGCAATGTCAGAGGTTGCTTTTTCAAGTAAGTTAAATGATAAAGTGTTTTATTGGCTCATATATTCTCCCTCCTATGGCTTTAATTTATTATACCTTGTGCTCAGAGAGTTTGATGAGAATTTATTACAAAGAATTGCTGGAATGTTCTTCGAAGACGAGGTTGCAAGTTTACCTCACCCTCCAGATGTGAGCAACTACTTGATGTCTGAGGTATTGGATTGGAATATATGTGATTCTTAATTCATTTATTATAATCAGCCATCTTTGATTACGTGCTATCATTTTGCTGTTATAGAATGCTTGTTTATCTGTTGCTCTAATATCAACAAGTTCACTGGATGGCAGGATGTGCCAAATGCTAATGCTAATGCCCCCATCAGTGAAGGAATGAATGGGTCAGATGTTGAACGGAGGTTAAACCAGCCCGTAAGTTTCCATGTTTTTAATGTGTTATTTCTGGTCTCCGTTATAGATAACATGTTTTGAAACTTTCTAGCAAAATCTTGGTGAGGGATTTCTTATGTTGTGTTTAGTTTATGAGCATGGAACATTTGAAGATAATGCAGCATTTGTCCTAGATTTTTTTGATTTGTGTTATCCTTTTCAGGATGATAAGTTTTCTGTCGATTTGGTCACCCGACCCATGGCAAACAGTTTTGAGTTAAGACATGAAACCTCTCAATTAACTGCTGGTATTACTTCAATTGTCACTGGCCCTGGATCGTCAAGAACCCTTATTCCTTCTCAGAGTATGAAACATTATATGTTGTTAGGGTCTCTGTATTTTGGTTTTTGAAATTATATGCTGTCTTTTCATGGTATCTTCTCTAAACTTTTCTCAGAACCTAGTTTGCTTGGACCTCCAGTCAAGTATGATGGCAGCTCTGTTGGTCATGAATATGACATGAAGAAAGGACTATTAACTATGAGGCATGCTCCAGATATAAAAGGTCAAAGTTCAGCTGAACCCCCTCTGATATCGAGGCCACCTGTTCAAACTTCACCATCTTTAATGCAGCCAAGTGGAGGCTGGTTGGTAGAAGATGATCTAAGCAGCAGAGCTCAGACAAATAATTGTCCTTCTGCATCTGTTAAAGAATCTAATGTAGTAAAGTCTGATAAACATCAGGCTCAACCAAAACCATTTTCTCATAATATGGTAGTTTCACCCCCCAATGCCTTACTCTTACAAGCATCACAACTTAAGGCTGGAGAGGTTTGTAGATGAACGTTATGTTGCTTCCCATTTTTGACAATGTTTGAAGTGTTGCTTGGGTTAATCTAAATTTTCCTGTTTTGAAAACATTGCTTATATGCAGGCAACTTCTGTATGTGATTTGCAGAGGCAGAATGTTCCATCTAAGTCTCAGTTATCAGGTATATCTTATTACTTATTTAATCAATCATCCTGCTGGGATTTGTGTGAAACCTTTGAATTTTATTTGATATTCTTGTTAGATATGAACTGTATGTTTGTAAATGGAATAATGGGAGGTTTGTAATTGGCTGCTAGAAAGATTTTACATGATTATTTAATGGATTTTGAATTGGAACTAACTTAGTTTTGATATATCTTACAAAAGATTAAGTGCTGAATCTGAAGCAGCATTGTGTACTTTAGCATCTTGTTGATTAAACTGGATCAAAGTAGGTAGAACAACGGATCTTTATTACTGAAAAACAAGAACAGGGATCAAGAATGATACAATAGTAGGATTCTCTCTTTATCTCTCCAGGTATTCAAAAGACCAGGCTCTCTCCTTCCCAATTTCTCTCAAGAACCAAAAACTGATTCCAATCTTCCCTCTTTTCCTAGTTATACCCTACAACCCCCCTTTTCTTCCTTTGCATTCAGTTAAAGCTTCTCCTGAGTAACAGTAGATTGTAACTGGTAATTGATTTTTTGTGCATGTGATATGCTTGTGCTATGTAAACGGGGGCTGCTGTTTTGCCTGAAACACTACCAAATTGAAAAAATGGAATTATCATGACCGTTCAAATCCACACTTGAAATTGAATGGTTGTGGTGATTCTAAAATTTTGGTTTGGCACTGATGTCAGGTTGAAAAGGATTTTCCTTTGTAAATACTCAGTTGTATTGGGTATGTATTCAGTAAGGGAACTTTAGCTTTCCTATGCTTCATAATTCAATAAGAAAGAATAGGTTTCACGTGTATTTGCTTGTATGGCTGTTCATTTAGGGAAGGCTGAAGTTTGTGAATGCATGTATATTTCTAAGTTCATATCATTTTCTAGATATTAATGCTGGTCTTGTTGATTTTTCTAATCATTTCTCCATCTAATTTGGCGGGCTGGGGAAGCCAGATACTCTGGACAAGCTTGTTTTTAAAGTTCTTATTAGCATTTTATTTTCATTTGCTGTCTATAATAATTTTTGCTTTCTTGTTGTGTTGTTGACCTAATTTTTGCAGAGGACCCGAATCATGCATCTTCTAACAGCAAAGAATTTCAGAGTGAAGCTGGAAAATTGAACCTTTTACCCTCTATATCTATTGGAGTGCTGCAAGAAATTGGGAGGCGGTGTAGCTCTAAGGTATGCATGGTTTCTGAACCCAAGTTAGCGTTTCTTTCTTCTATTTTTCCTGAAGTGCATTTTCATGTTTTCCCTTTTATAGGTTGAATTTAAGTCAATTGTAAGCACCAGCAAAGACTTGCAGTTTTCAGTGGAGGTCAGTGAATGTTCTCTTAATATCTTTTATTTTTACGATTATATGTCAGTTTATGTATGTCTTTATTAACATTTTGATATTGCATTTCTCTTGGCTTATGTAGTATGAGTTGGTATGTTATACAAGATGCATTAGCTATTTAGTGGTTTTAAGCTGTAGAATTTTGGTTATATGGTATTCTGTAGATTAATGAGCATTGTAGTTACATTTATTTAATGATGCAAAGAACCAATTCAACCCAAAAGCTTAAGCTGTTAGGTGAGGGCTCTTTAATAGTTTATATTATAATCTAACACGCCCCCTCACACGGAAGCCCACTAGGCTTGAAGGGTGGATAATGTACAGGCCCACCTACCTGTGCTAAGAAAATTCCACAAGAGAAAGTGGGGGGTGATGAGGATCCAACCTGGGATATGAGGCTCTGATATCATGTAAATAACCAATTCAATCCAAAACCTTAAGGTATTGGGTGAGGACCTTTTTAATGGTTTGTATTATTTTATAACAAATGAGCATGATAATGGCCTGTCTTCTATTTGGCTTTAGTTCACATTATTTTAGATCATTAGATGCATGATTGTTTTGTAATTTTCGCATTTATTTTGGACTGCTTCACTGTTGTTCAATATGTCGCTACCCAGTTCTCTTATTAACATCTTAAATGCTATTGATGTTGCACGCAACCTACTGTAAAAATGTCATTATGTCCCTTATACTTGTAGCCATGCCACTTTTGGCTGCCTTGGTCCTCGTATCTTATTTGGATGTGTTAGAGATATATAAAACCATTAAAAAGGTCTTCACTTAATAGCTTAAGCTTTTGGATTGGAATAGTTCTTTATATGGTATCAGAACCTTAATGTTACGGGTTTGATCCTCACTGCCCCTTCATTTTCTCTTGTGGAATTTCTTAGCACAGGTAAGTGGGCCTGTGCATTGTCCATCCTTCAAGTTTAGTGGGCTCTCGTGTGAAGGAGCGTGTTAGCGATATATAAACCCATTAATATAGCCTCACCCACCAACTTAAGCTTCTGGGTTGAATTGGTTCTTTATATGGTATCAGATATCAGAGCCTTGGTGTCTCGGGTTCAATCCTCACCATCTCCCATTTAATTAATAATTAATTAAGTCTTGTGAAATTTCTTATCACAAGTAGGTGAGTTTGTGCATTATCCACCCTTCAAGCCCAATGGGCTCTGGTATGAGGGGGCGTGTTAAAGATATATAAAAAAGCCTTCACTTAACAGCTTAAGTTTTTGGGTTGAAATAGTTCTTTACATGATGTTTATGTGTTTAACCTTCATTCACAAAGTTGTTGTCGCATTTTACTCTTGGGGTCTGAAATAGGTTTAGGTTTGGTCTACTGTTTTTGTTTATTCATAACCTGTGTTGTAAAGTTTTCTTATGCCTTGGTTTAGGTACTATTCACTGGTGAGAAAATAGGCGTTGGTATGGGTAGGACAAGGAAGGATGCTCAACAACAAGCTGCTGAGAATGCCCTTCGCAACTTAGCAGGTAAAAGAAGTTTGTTCAAGCCAATCCTAAATTGTGTTTGTATTTGGGTACTCACGTGCTTTTGTGTTGGTTTTGGGTACATGTACCCTTTTGTTAAAAGGTCATTCATGCTCTTCCTCACAGTATGGCATGGATTACTTTAGCGTTTATGGATTACTTTAGCGTTGTAGCATCTGGCACTTGAACATTGGCTCGAGGCATTTTCTCTTCGCCTTCTTACCTTGAAAAAGGTGGGGCACCTTGCGTCCTTGAATTGTTAACCATCTTTTGGCTGATTTAGCCTCCTCCATCCCATTATAAAAATGGTAGTATTAAGAAATTAAGAATTTTTCATTATATATTCTATAGAATTAATATAAATATATATATCTTATTTTTATTATTATTTTGTTATTATTATGTTGATTTAGAATTTATTTATGTATTTTATATCTATTCACACTATGGGAGCTGGCCATGCTCAAAGTCTTGCGGAAGACAGATTTTGGCATCCCAGTCCTTGCGATTTAAGTCATAACTTGGGGCATGTCTAGCTTACATAGCGTGAATAAATATAAAAAAATTATAAATCAAATATGGGATAGGATATTGTGACACCCAAGTTATGTTACACCCATGTGACACCCAGTCAATCTCACCGTTAGATCGCTTATGTTGATCCAACGGTTATATTTATTTCCATCTTTGTATGGTCATGATTTCCCAAATTTAAAGTGAAAGCATTAAATATGGGAAATCATGACCATACAAAGGTAGAAATAAATATAAAATATTAAATTTGGGAAATCATGACCATACAAAGATGGAAATAAATATAACCGTTGGATCAACATAAGCGATCTAACGGTGAGATTGACTGGGTGTCACATGGGTGTAACATAACTTGGGTGTCACAATATCCTATCCCATCAAATATATATATATATATATATATATAATTCTATAAAAGATATTATTTAATGATCTTAATTTTTTAAATATATTTTTTTTATAATGGGACGGAGGAGGATATATAAGCCGAAATATGGTTATCAGTTCAAGGATAGTAAGTGTTGCATTTTCAAAGCAAGAAAGGGTAGAAAAAAAGTCTCGAGCTCGAACAATCTTCAATATAAGGATACTTCTACCTGAACACAAATGGGTGGGTAGAACATATATATATATATATATATATATATATATATATATATATATCGAAAAATCCAAAATTCAGTCACTGGACTATCCAGTGAGTGTATTGTGACTATATTCTCCCGCGAGAATATAGTGCAAAAATATTACAATGGTGTTCTTTAGGTGTTCTTCCGGGAGAACATAGTTATAATATTTTTTGCACTATATTCTTGCGGGAGAATACAGTGCACTGGACCAAAATTACATCTAATCACTTGATACTCACTGAGCCCTATATATATATATATATGGAGGGTAGGATCAACTTATACCCGTGTAAGAAGTCTTACACTCAATTTTAACCGTTGAGTCCACTTGTATCTAATAGTTTATATAACTAATAAACTAGAGCCGGTAGATATAAGTGTGGGATCAACGGCTAAAATGGGGTGAAACACTTATGCTGGTGTAAATTGGTCATGTTTTTATATGATATACATGTACTTATATAGATATATGTTATTGAGATAAGGATTGATGGGTAAGATATTGTTGCTGCATTTGGTGGAACATCATTTGTTCTAATAATTTGGGCATAAATGGAGATTTTTCTCTTTTTTTTTGCTGGATGAGTGTCTGAATATGCCCTTGCAGCACTGTGCATGCATATAGAACAGTTGCTGAGATTCTTTATGTTGGTGTTTTTGTGAAATTGTATTTATTCGTTGAACAATTTGGAGTGAGTTCAAATTGAAGAATATCTGCTGGTTACTGGCTTTAAGTTGTATATTTGCACACTAAATCTTGCTCCATGATCTGACATGATCAAACTAGTAGTAAACCCGATGTTCTAGTGTATGCTAAGGTAGAAATTCTTAGCATACTTAGTTCAAGAGGTAAATATTTTCTTTTTGTACTTATTGTGTGGTTTGAGGAATTGTGTCACTGCATGGTACTGGTGGATGGTGTGACTATGTGCATGATGGTTGATCAATAAAATCTTGCAGCATGATCTGACATGATCATGCTTTATCATGCATGATTAATAAAATTAGTTTGTTTATGCTAGTTCATTGTGCTAAGGTTAACTAAATTTTTGTCCTCCTTTGTATTGGACCTATATCAAAGTACTGAATACATTTCTGGTGCATGGAATTACAGATAAGTATGTGGCACATATGGAGCCTCGATGTAGAGCTGTTGATAAAGAATTTGACAAGCTTTCTCTTGGACATGAAAATGGTTTCTTGTGGGATGTGGTCAATCCGGAATCCAGTGAACTGCAAAGAGAAGATGGATTGCCTAGAGATAGTGCTTCCGAGGTAGGGATTTTTTTTGTTTTTGATAGTTGATTTGACTTGTTTGTTTAAGGAAATAGGTGATGCTTGGATAAGGGGTATGTGGACTAGAAATTCCAGATCAGGCCTAGTGGTTGTATAGAGAAATTACACGGTTTATGGAATTTGTATCATCAATGTGAAGGCTATATCACTGAATGGGGAGTGAGCTGGCTTCATGTCTGCTACTGCTGTCTTAGACAGGCTTCTTAATTTCCTACTTATAAGGTAATGGCTTGGTGGTCAGTCGCTGGTTTCTACCCGTTATCCAAGTAGTCCCTTGTAGTCATTTTGGCCGTGTTACTGTTGCATGCTTCTAGATTATATTATTGTTGCTTTCCAGTTCATTTGGGAAGATAAGAAGGAATTAATTATTTTTTCTTTGAATTTATGCTGTGGGTTTAATTATGTTCATAAACGTGGTCTTGAGGGTCTACTCATGGAATTTGAACAGAATCAAATAATTGGTACTGCAAGATTTTACTTAAACTAGGTAGTTTTAAGGAATTTCTTTATTGTGGGGTGCTGTATATTCTGCCTAGGGGAAGAAGTTGATCTACGAGGCGATCTGTGAATTACCTATCTTGTCATATATGTGTAATTATTTGTATCAATTTACTATGACTTTCAGGCTTTAGATGCCGAGACTAGGCCATCTACACCTAATGCCATTAATCAGCAAATGGACAAGCGTACCAGTTCCCCGAGGTAACTTAAGATAGGATGTATTGTTCTTACCTTGTATTGTTAAGTTATGTCATTAGAAAAAAAGGAGAGGGTCTTTTCTTTTCTTTAGAGAGGGGGTACATTTGCTTTTAGGTAGTGATTGATTCTATCTAGGAGTGTGAAAGCATGAATTTTTCGTCTTTAAATCTTCTATTTTTGTCTCATGCTTTTCCTCTCAAGTTTCCTGGTTATTTTCTTCCTCCATTTGTAAATTTCTTTATTTTGTCCTTGGCAGCAGGGCTTTTCAATTTTTTATTACTGGAATTGTATTTTATCCTCCAATGGTTTAATGCAACTAACGTCATTATAACAAACAATGTGCATCTTTTGAGTCCCTCCCTCCCTCCAAGAAGTAAAGCATTCTTCAGTTTTTCCTCTCTTGTTGAATCTGAAGATTTTGGAAAACACTAGTTTAGTTTTAGGAGTGAGTATTTCATATAATACTTGTCTATGCTTAATTTTCTTAGTTGTCATTTCAGATTGCATCAGTCTTTTCCTAGTAAACGATTGAAGGAATGAACATGTTGCAAGACAAACAAGAACTACCATCATTGCAGCAATTGGAGAATGGGCCATTTTAATTCATGAAACGGCATTTAATCATTTTGGAGGCAAGAGGTTTTGATGTTTGTGATTTGCTCATGTAAAATCACTGGCATGGCCTTTGTAGATATGCCGAGGTGATTTCCCTTGCTAACTTCTTGTAGAGAAGGGCTTCTTTTTTTTGTTTTGCCCTACCATTTTCCTCATAGCTAGGATGTTTGTCTAGCAACATTATTAATGTTCTATTAGTTCGAATGTAAATTTGAAGATAATTGGTTCTTCTTTGTAATCAATCCGCATTTGTTTTTCTACGCAGTGGTGGTTGAATTTCTGGGTTAGTTGGTCCCTTCTGATTTGACTAATATGAGATGATCAATAATTTTTAGCGTTGGCTTAAAATTTTTTGGGTCAATTTCAGTCAAATTTCTACACTAACCTAATAAGCATGCCTTGTTAAGTTGCAAGGAGGGAGGGTTAGTAATATTTTCGGGGATAAACATTTAGAATTAATTGTACTTGAAATTTAATTAGGGTTAGTAGTGATTTTGGTTTTCTAATGATTAATTGTTTAAATTTAATTTTTTATAGGTTACAATGTAATCCTTTTCGCTAGTTTCTTTATCTAAAACTACCACATTTATATTTTACTCAATTGATTGGAGGTGTAGGATTGGTTTGAGATATTAAATGATTTGAAATGTGAAAATTTGATGATTTTTAAAGGATTTTGTAAGGAGTGAGTTTAAAATAGGATTTTTTAATTTTTGAGTGAAATGTGATATTTTTATTCGTGATTTGGAGTGTTTAGGTACACGAACTTTCCGGCGTCTTTGCAGTTGATGCTAGGACCTTGTTTCAAAGTGGAAAAATTATCTGTACCCTTGTGGATGTATTGGCTAAATGGGACCATGGGTGTCATCTACTTCGCTGCTAATCACTAATCAACACCAATACAACCTCTTTTTGTTTTTTTGTAGTTTGGCAAAATAAACTTCTCTTACATGTGTTATTACAAATCATACATGTGTTATTATACAGAAGTGACACCACGATCTAGTACGTAATATCACAGTTTAGTACACAACATTATCTATAGGAGATAATAGGTATCTCGTATCTGCACTCCACAGTCATCAAATGATTGAGGATTTGATATATGTCTCATTGTCTTGCAGCTCTGGCTCATTTTTTGGTGTTGCATTTATCTCTAGGGGTGTGCTGTCATTGGATTCTGATGCGGTCCACCTTAATAAGAAATATGAGATTGTATACAGTTTGAAGAGATGTAGAGGATTGCAACCGATTAACAGAAATGAGTCGCATTAGTTAGTTAGTTGGTTAGAGAAATTAGTGGCATGAGTGGCATCTGTAAAACAGAAGGTAGGGGAGCACAAGGAAAAATCATCTGGAATCTTGGTTAGGATTTGGGTCTGGGAGAGTGAAGAGCCTCTCCAATAGCTCAACACTACTCTTTAGTTGTTTATAGTTTCTTTGTAGCATTTTCTATTTCTATCTTCAGGTGAAATAAATCGAATTCCTTGTAATCCTTAGTTGAATTTCACAGTGTATTGTTGTTCCTCAATATCAGTAAAATCATTCAGTTCAGTTGATATTCAAACCTTTGGTTCAGTTCTGCAATTTCTTGATTACTGGTTGGATTCTTATCAGATTATTGTTCCATATTGAACTGAAAATCTTCGTTATCACTTATCAGCATATGAAAAAGAACAGAGAAGAGATTAACACTAGCATCAACAATTGAGTAGATGCAACAATTTAACACTAACAGAGTGCTTAAAACTGCTCATCGCTGATGAAACCCTAGATTGTAGAAATTTACAGCACAAATCAGCTGCTTGTGGTCAGTGATAAAGTTTTTGAGTGTTTGTAACTTGTATAGTAACGTGAATTTAATGGCAATGGTCGATGGAATGAACAAGTTAAAGTGTTATCGCTTATATATAATGTTATTAAACCCGGCCTAGTTATTGACCCGGTGGAGGTACTGGGTCACCGGTTTAACTAGTGAGTTAATGGTTCAACTGCATGACCCGGTAAGTATATATAAATCTATAATTTATATTAAAAAAGCTATAAATATACTTAAATATTTGTAAAAAAATATACCAATTTCAAATATTTTAATATGCAAATAATAAATTACACATCATTGTCCAATAAAAGATCAATCAAACATATAATATTTGTAATATTAGTGTTTCAGATTCGGGTTTTTGACCCTTTTGCCCCTAATTAAATAATTAATAACCAATTTGCCCCTCCCCCAGAACTATCCACCATCCTGCCCCCATTTAGTCGATTATGTTGCACTTTTAATCGACTAAATGGGCTAAACTCAGAAATTATGAAACGCGAATTTTAGTCGACTAAAAACTCACCTTAATCGACTAAATTGTTTGCACTTTTAGTCGACTAAGCACATTATTTAGTCGACTAAAGATCGCGAAAAACCCTATATCCAGACCTCTCTTGGGCTCATTTTCAAAATATTCGAAATCAAAACTTCTCTCTTGGTCTCTTTCTCTTGTTTGTCAGCTGGGAGCCTTCCAATCACCCTTCCATTTCATCCCACCACCTCTAAGACATAGTAATTGTGAAATCATTGTCATTTTTCTTTATTTCTCAATTGTTTTCCCCAAATCCGAACCCTAACCCCTAAAATCTGATTCCTACCCCCAAAATTCGTGTGAAAGATGATGGGAACAAGAAAACAACAATAATTACGTAAACGGTTCACAACATGATGGGAACATCAAATAGTTCATTTCATAACCATAATATTACATAAGCTACAAATGTCAAATAGGAAGACCGAAGTCAATTACATAACAACATACACTAGAAACGTAAAATAGAAACATAAACCCTAAATCTAATCCTCATCCTCCTCGGACGCCGTCTCCTCGTCATCCTCATCTGACACATCAGCCCCCTGCCCTGCAACATCCTCAATCTGCTGTCCTCGTCCAAGCTCTAGACGAGCAAGCCTATCCTCAACACCCTTGAACCGTCCCTGTATATGTCTAAATCTTTCATTTCCCTTCTGCACGTGACTCTTCCTCCATTTTTTGTGTTTCAGCGCCATTTTTCCTATTTTCTTCAGCGTGGCGTTTATGCCCTTCATGACATCATGTAATGAAAACCCACCCTCAGGCTCAGCTATCTCCTGCTGGTCACCCTCATCATCATCGTCATCATCATCCTCCACCTCGGGGTCAACCATGTCTACAACTGGAGCAACATCAGGAACCTCAACATCATCCGCACCTGTGAACTGCCACACTCCTGTTTGGGGGTTCTTTGTCATCTTGCACTGCTCCAGTAGACGTTTTCCAAACTTATGATTATACCCTGTGGTCTTCTTCAAGGTCACATTACCCGTGGGAACATCAAAATACTCCAATATCCTCTGAACAAGACAAGCAAATGGAAGTGCACCCTTGTGTTTGGCCTTATACATCATCCAACACACGTAGTGCCTCCAGTTCACCGAAGTACCATGTCGGATAGCCCACATGATGGGAATGTCATGCTCCAACACCCTGGAATGATTGAACGCTCGCGGAAACAAAATGTGGGTGATGACATAGTGTAGTATGCGGGACTCCACAGTAAGCAACCCCACCGTATAGGCAATGTGTTGCCCACGGACTCTCCTCTGCTCCTGCACGGCATCACCGCGTGTATATCCTGGAAGTATGGTCCCGCTGTCTGCGTCATATTCCACAGTCTGCGCAGAATCAAAGTCATACCCCAGTAACTCCAACCATACCGGAGCCGTCATGATGATGTCCACCCCGCAGACCCTAGACCTCAGCTCACCGTGATGGTAGCTGAGATTATGGTAGAAGGCCCGTACATGCAGCTCAGAATATGAACACGACAGTTCAACCAAGGTCCTAAGATGTGATTCCTCCAACCACCTCACAATGTTAAAACCTTCTTGTTCAAAAAAGGTTGTATCAAGTGATTTGGCCCCACAAATCGGTCGGTTAACAAAGTCACAGACAAAAGATTCATGAACCACCGGGTCATTCTCGAACAAGTATCCGAATGGGAGGTCCACAGCAGCGGGGTCATCCTCTTGTGGCCTTGACGAAGACGGATGGTCTTGTCGTAGCTTTTGTCGTCTCTCATTTCCAGTGCTAGACGATCTTCTACGGCCAGCCATGGGAACAACTGTACCTACAATGCAAGTGGAAACAAAAATCAATGAGCAATAACAATATCAAAAAATTTAAAATTCAATATAAAAAACAAAACCTAATCCTAAAATAAAACAGAAATCAGAAACCCAATCCCTAACCCTAAAACAGAAACAGAAACCCTAACCCTCAACCCTAACCCTAACCCTAACCCTTACCCTACACCCTAAAACAGAACACAAAAACCCATTCCTAACCCTAAACACTACAACCCAAACAAAACAGCAACGTAAACCCTAACCCTAACCCTAACATAACCCTAACCCTAAGCCTAACGCACCACATCAACCCTAACCCTCACCCTCACAACAAACTTAGCACCCTACCCCTAACCTAAATCCACAAAACCGCAAACATAAATCAAATGCATGAAGAAAACAAAAAAAAAAACACTAAACTTAAAACCAAATGCAAGTCAGAATACGTTACCTAAATGTCGATTTCGCAAGTGTGAACCAAGGAAGCTTCAATCGCACCTTCAAGGGTTGAGATTCGGACTTGGTTGGAGAGAGGGGACGAAATGCAGCCTTTTAGTTGATTAGGGTTTGAAAATAACCCCCTTTGCGAAATGGGGGGGTTTTTAAAAAACCTGATCTGCGACATTTAGTCGACTAAATAATGTGCTTAGTCGACTAAAAATGCAAACAATTTAGTCGATTAAGGTGAGTTTTTAGTCGACTAAAATTCGCGTTTCATAATTTCTGAGTTTAGCCCATTTAGTCGATTAAAAGTGCAACATAATCGACTAAATGGGGGCAGGATGGTGGATAGTTCTGGGGGAGGGGAAAATTGGTTATTAATTATTTAATTAGGGGCAAAAGGGTCAAAAACCCTTCAGATTCAGTAAACGACATCTCTAACTATAAATCAAATCAAAATTCCCTGCATATTGCATAATCAAGATAATATTAGTGTTGTAGATACATAATCTATGTAAGTTAATAAGCTACAAATCACTCAAATATTTCAAAAGAAAACAAACCATTTGTGTTTGAAAGTAAAAAAAAGAAGACATTAATTTATGAAAATAAATTATTTTTTTATTTTTTTTATAGACCGGGCCAAGTCACCGGTTGAACCGACCGGGTCACTGGTTTTTTACGAAAATCGGTCGGGTCGCACCGGGTCACACCGGTTCTGTACCATGACCAATCCAATATGAAAACTGGACCAGTTACATGATCGGTTCACCGATTTTCAGGTCGATCCGGCCGGATCGGTCCGATTTTTATAACATTTGCTTATATCCTTCAATAGCCAAAATGTTTGGACAGCTTGGCTCTTTTATTGTTTGCTCTAGTATTAGTGGCTTAAAGCACTAAATTATTGAATTCAGATACGTATAATCAATGGTGTTATTTTTATCATTGCAAATTAAATATGAAACATTTTTTTTCTCCTTATCTTTCAGGCCTTCAGAGGCGGTTGTTTTATATTCAAGAAACAAAACTGATACGCCATGGCTATGAACAAAATTCATTTGAACGATGAATATAGATGATCATACAAATGAAGAAAGATACTCATTTTTATTACCCAATTAGTAGTTATGCTCTCAGTGGAATGGTAATGTCAAATAACTTGTGTTTTCAAGGTAACAGAATCAAGCAATTCTCTAGCGAGGGTAGGTGGTTTGTCCATTGCACGAGTTTGTCTATCTTTAATGCCTGAAACTTTAGAATGACCAGAATTATCAGCAAAAGTTGACATTTCTGAGTCAAATTGGTGTTCCTCATTTGAGTGAGCAAGTTGATCTTCTTCTATTATTTTTTGAAGTTGAGCATTCTCCCAATCCTCATAAACAGTTATTCTGTTCATACTTTCCCAAGTGTGGATAAATCTATCTGAGCCTGGCTGCCAAATAATATCACCTTCTTTTCTTTTCAATATGAATTTGAATTGGATTGACTTTCCAGCAGGTATATCCTGATTGCAAAGCAAAGTTATAACAACATTTACAAAGTTTTCCATCAGACAATTATTTTCATATTTTGAAAAGATAATATTCACCTGCTCTATGGTCCATATGTGCCCATCTGACCAGGTCATTGGTAATGCATTTGAAGGATCCCATGAACCAAACATAGGATCCTCCCCAACTATTAGAAATTGGTCCCCGAAATTACAACTTTCTTGTAACTGAAATTTGACCTGAATAGTCTTTTGTTCATCTGCACAAAAAAATTAACATTTTTAAAATTTATAGCCATACAATATACAGTACAAAGACCCTAAAAGATGGTTAGAACTCACTTGTTTGTTGAGCTTGAAGCTCTCCACTGTCCAAGTCCACCTGCAATATATTATGCAAACCAAGATTGAATTTCCCTCATTTTATTTAAGGAAAA